AAGGCAGAGGATTGTAAATCTTCTGCTCTCTGCGGGTATTATTATGCAGAGTATTATGCTGCAACACATGAAATCAGGGATTGCACTAAACATGAGAGCCACCTGAGTGTGGGAATTGTCGTCGGAGTCTTGTAATTATGGAACATGCTTCACATTTATTTTTTGATGCTAAATGTTGTCCTATATTTTACAATAAATTAAAGGATAAGATAAATGATATCAATTATGGCTAGCACAAATATTGAGTTAGATGGTTCGTTTGTCATGTTAATTATCAGTTATTGATAGTGTTCTTATTAGATGATTTTCGCTTATTTTTCTTAAAAAAGTTTATCATAGTAAATTTATCATGTATTATATTCTTAACTACATATATAGCTCATTACTACAAATATAGCTTAAACCTAAAATACTCAACAATATAGTCTTGCTTAATTGTTATACCATATATTATTGCGACAGAATTGCGCAAGAATAGTGATAGAATAACTTTTTATGTAAGAAATCATCTGAAAGTTTATATTTTATGTATGTTTGAAATATTATATTACCATATAAACCAGGATAAATTATTGCAGGAATTTTGATAAGAAATATATCTGAGCCATTGTTTGTAGTAGTTTATTATCTGTCAAACTATGGACTCCTACGTGTATTCAAGGATACCTTGTTTGATATCCTTATTATGTACAATTGGTTGATTCTGAGTAACTTTAATATTAATGTACTTTAATATTAATGTACAAACTGATATAATGTCACGATAGCAGAAGCTTTACTTCATAATCTTCATAGAGTCTGTAATTTATTTTTAATTCCTTACCGTACATTACATCATCTCAAAAGTTCGGATACCTTTCTTGATTTATGTATTACCTATAATTCGAATAAGATTTTAAACTTCTGACAACATAATGTAAACTTTTTATTTGCGCATGATCTAATATTCGTTACTTATGCAATTAAAGTAGCGTTAGCAATAGTAGAAAAATGATTTGCAAGAATTTACACTAATTTTAATAAAAAGGATTTTCTAGAAGATCTAAATATCATTCAATAGAATGAAATTTTTCTGAGACTGAGCTAATCGGTGAGAAAATCAATATTTTTGTCTTATTTTTTGAAATATTTGAATAGGCTCGCCTCAAAAAATATTAAGATGCATTACAAAACCTACAAAACCGACTTGTGCCATAGATTACTATGGAATAAAACTAGAAGGATGAAACATAGAAGAGATGAAACTAATCTTAAGTCTTATAGAAATCTTAGGAATGATGCTCCAAATTTGGTAGGGTCTGTTAAATATAACTTTTCTTCTTGCTTCTTTCAATAAAACTAAGAACCCAATAATTACATAGAACAAACTATGGCACCTCGGCTGGTTAAATTTAAGTCAAACGACATGTGCCTTGCTCATAATATAAATGAACTAAATTTCTCTTTTACTCAAGATACCACTTTATGAGTAATAAGAATGTGAATAATGTGATTTTACAGGACGAACTTAATTATTACGAGAAATTTTGTGGAAATATCCCAGTCAGCACAAACCTCCAAAGGACATCCTAAGGACATCCTGAGAACATCCTGAAAACGTGTCCCCAGAACACTTCCAGAACGTCTTTTAGAGGTTTTGTGCTTCCTGGGATATTACGTTATAAAATATTTGCAATGTTTATTTTTGCAATGTTTTTATAATGTTTTTGCAATGTGTTTATTTTTGGAATGTTTATTTGCAATTTTACAGTCTAGGGCTACTGATATAAATGATATATTATCCAATATGATTAAGCTAACGTTGTCATGCATTTTACCGAAAATATTTTTTATTTCTATTTAATACATGAAGTTTTTTCTCAACTATGAAAAATAGCAATTATCTATTCAATCCCGAAAGTCAAGAATGTTACTATTCTGCAATATAACAAACCGATATCTATCTTTCCTGTAATTTCGAAAGCTTTTGAGAAAATTATTTGTAAACAAATTCCAAGTTATCTTATGAAATATGATTTATATGATCCATGTCAATCTGCCTACAGAAACTATCATATAGGCTAGCCTCGTCAGTATTAGATTAGCGAGTAATCTCTATGAATGGTCATTGTTGCTGTCTTCATCGATTTGTCAAAAATATTTGATCGAGTTCATCACCACATATTAATAATAAACTTAAGGTAATGAAATTTTTTTACTTTACAATGAAATGAACTTATTCATATTTGGAGTACAAATCTCGGAAAAACAAAGATCCTCTAAATAATAACTTGTTGACTATTACCTACATACAATATTTGCACTCTGCACATATTTGCACTATACCTTAAGGCTCTGTTTTAGACCCATTGTTCTTTGTATTATATTCGACTGATTTTAGAAATATCTTTAGAAACTGTAAATACCGTTTCTATATCAATCTTATGATATACTACAAGTATAAAGTTAGTGATAAAAATAATAGAATTGTTAAAATTAATCCTGATTTGTGTGATTGTGTGACTAATTACTACTGCTATTAGTTTTCTAGTAATTTCTACTATTATTATATTTATAGGACTACTAGAAATAACAAAAGTTGGTGAATTCACCGAAGACGCAGGCTTTGTTTTTGCTACCGGCAGATATAAGGCATCGCTAGCTTGGAAGACCTTTCTCTCATTACCATAAATGGCGAAAAAAATTACCCTCTTCACAGAAATTAAATTCCTAGTATTTATTTATTATCATGGGAAAGATAGATAAATGTTATTAATAAAATGAACTCAGTTTTACTTCAATTTCAACTATTACCACCTGTAACTTATAAGGAAGTTACCACCTATAACTTTGAGAGAAAAGCTTGTCAAAACGTTAGTTTATTCACATGTTGACTATTGTTGTGCGGCCTTTGTTAACATTACTGCTGAGCAGAATTTGCATTTTCTAAAAGTTATTAACGCATGCATTAAATTCATTTTCCAACTAAGGATAGATTTCCACATTACACCATATTATGTGATCTGAAACTGAAATGGTTGGAAACTGAAGCAAAAAGGGACTATTTTATTGAACGCCAAATATATTATTACTATTGCATTTTCTTGTAATTTTTTTAAAATGCTAAATTTCCTTTTCAAATTGCATTAAAGAAAACCAGAACACTGAATGATGTACTTCGATTATCTAAGTCTAAAACTGAATTTTTTTTTATTAAAAAAGTTTCTCATCTATATGCTGCGTTATATGAAACAATTTTCCTTCTTCGATTTGTAGGTCAAGATCTACTGAAAAAAAATTATTTTTATTTTATTTTATATTCTTGAACGCTGTGATGATATTGTTTGGTACTTGAAAGACTCTCTTTAACTTTATTGATCTTGAATATTTCTCTCTTTCCCTCTCTCTCTCTCTCTCTCTCTCTCTCTCTCTCTCTCTCTCTCTCTCTCTCTCTCTCACTTACTCTGGCATTTCAATATACAAGATATTTGGGATCTTATGGAAATGAAAAATTATAAAGACTATTCAGTTCAAACTAAGAAAAAAGTCATCTACTATTTTGAAAAAATCGCAAATAATCACATTCAGAGGCTCTTTTAATTGATAACTTGAAAATTATTTATTTGTAAATTGGTAAAGGACTTTTTTGTTCAGAATGACCTAATCTACAATTATATGACGGCTATTATCTAGCGATAGATATGAGTATATTGAACTTTGAATCCTAAATCTTGAACCTATCATTAGCAATAGCCATCATATTTATGTTCCATTTATAATTGTAGATTAGGTCATTTTGGACAAAAAAATCCTTTACTATTTTATAAATAAGTACTCAAATTTTCAATTTATCAATTAAAAGAGCTTTTAGATATGGTCATTTTCATTTTCAATCATTAATAACTTAATAACTATTGCGATTTTTGCAAAATGGTACTTTCGTCTCCAAAAGATCCCGGACACCCTATATGTATAGTTATTTAGGATATAAACATTAAATGTATAATTTTACAATAAAAGGAATTGATTGTATTACTTTTTGCCATCCACTCAAGATATAAATTTTGTATATTATATTAGTTAATTTTTGTGTGCTTAAAGGGACATTTCCAATATTAAATAATGCTTTCTCCCTCCCTCCTTCTCCATCCTCCTTCCTTCTCTCTCTTTTTCTCTTTTTTTTGCTTTCTTTTAATATGATATAAATTTCCAAGCAGCAAATTGTTTTTAAACTCCAAGATAAAATGCAAAGCGCCATACGTCCATCGTGCAGCATAATTTATCGCATAATTTATAATGTTATTCGACTCTCTCCTACCGCGTCGTTGTCTAACATTGCACAGTCCATTGAAAAAGCCGCCCGCGCGGTTTTCTCCGAGAATTTATGGCGCTAAATTTATAATTATCGTCAAAACACGCGCGAATAATTTACTTGGCCGACAATGTGCAATTTATTAAATAACGCACTCTGTGTATAACATTATTGTGCAACCTTGTGCAGACACGCTGAACAATGAAGGTCCTTTGTCTTTACGAGCCTTATTAAAAGCACAAACGCTCTTCTGCAGCAATTTTTAATTGCTATGTGAAACTGCGTGATGAGCTGCGAGTCTCCTTGTACGCGTTAATTCGTTCTGCATCGGACGAATTTCAAACGTGCTTTACACCGCCTGACCACGAAATAGAAATCTTACAAAACTTATAGCACCTCTCTTTTTCTCTATTGTGTTCTCGCGATATTTAACATTTATTTCCTAAATGTAGAAGATTGACGTAAACAAGTTTTAGATTCATTTTCCTTCAACTATAATTTTATATGGATTTGATGTTCGAAATCTATTTATTAATAAATTAAATACATGTCATTATATATGTTTTATGTGAATAATATAAATACCTAATTTTAAAGATTACTTACTTTTCGTTGACGATCGTAAATATGTTTGACTAAAATATCAAAGATATATTTTATCATGACAAACAAAACGTTCATTCAACGTGAAATTAATTGTCTGTTACAGGACGAGAAGAATCAGTTGCTCATCACGAACCTTTGGCTGAAACTGGTGAGTTCTTTACCCTGTCCTCGAGCTTTCGATTCGCGGAAAATAAAACGAGTCGCGACGTCTTTCTAATTGATCACTGCCAATTACACGAGTCGAGCGGTACGAAACTCATTGAGACGACCTCTCGATCATATTTTTTAAAGGATCTCCTATTAGTCGGACGACAGTCGATTGATCCGAAATCGCTGCAAAGTGTATCCGAGAGTGATTTAATTCTCGACGTCGCGCACGTCATCTTTCGAACTTCACCCGCCTATATGAAACTTCGCGAAACGATCGTGTCTCGAGTTAATTAGACACTTATCGTTTGCAGTGACGACGAGTGAAGTGACTCATGAAAATGACATCATCGACTATATGGCGTGCGCGGCGTAATCTGCTTACACGCGCGCTCTCACTTTGAAACTCATTTCCCTCTCCTCTCCTCCCTTTCTCTCTCTCTCTCTCTCTCTCTCTCTCTCTCTCTCTCTCTCTCTCTCTCTCTCGGATCGTATTTTTGCCGTGAAATCGTGAAGCCATATCATCGACGTAAGCAATTACGCACCCGTAATTGGAAGATCCACCGTTATCACGCGAGGAATACCCATTCTCGAGCATCCGCCGTTCCTCGGGCGTTTATAACTCCATCGTCTCGGTCGATTTTACATCACGTACTTTATACCACGTACGAACGAACGACGGAGAAGCGGTAGGGTAACCGTGACGAGGTCGGATCGGATTTTTATCGAGCCCAAACTATTAATAGAGTTGCTGCAACAGGTTACTCCCAGAGCGCAGAGCAAAAGCGCGCCCTTATTAGAGCGGACCGCGATAATGTTTCCTTCCAGCGACGAGAACAGCTTCCGATTTTGAGCGTGCAATGCTCCAAATGAAAGATAGAGAGAGAGAGAGGGGGAAGGAGAGGGAGAAGGCTGTGTTTCTCGCTGCCACGGCTTACGGCGAAGTCAATTTCGCGCGCGTTCGAGAAACAAAGAGAGAGAGAGAGAGAGAGAGAGAGAGAGAGAGAGAGAGAGAGAGAGAGAGAGCGAGAGAGAGAGAGGAAGGAGGCATCCCGTCGCTGACCCAAATTCGCATTGGGACGTATCGACGATTCTACGGACGACCGTTTTTGGCTGATTGACAGATCAGCCGTGCCGCATCGGACACGCAGCGTCGCGCCGCGCCACACGCCACGCTCTTCGCGCTGATGATTCAAACAACGGCGAGGACGGAGGTCACGCGATCGTTACGATCCTACGGTTGGCCCTAATTTCGCCCAGGGCGACCTTAACCTTTCGCTCGCGGCTGCGAGTTAATATTCCGGATTCGCTCGACGACAAACCTTCCAGGTTTATCTCGGCGTGAGCGTCGTCGCTTAATTAACTTTCTAAAGCACATCGCGCCTTTTCGCGTGTTTTCGGCATAAATTCTGTTCCGTAAGGGCCACGTTTCTCGCGATGAAACGTAAACGCAGACGAGGTCTACATTCTCTACTCGATGGCTCTGGCAATTCCATTTCCGTGTCTTTTCTTTCTTCTGTCCTGTTTTGTTTTATTCTCTCTTCTCTCTCTCTCTCTCTCTCTCTCTCTCTCTCTCTCCCTCTCTCGTAGATCGCGGTACTCGTTACTTCGCCGGTGCGATTGGAAGTAAGCTTGGCGTGGCCCGCTGTGCGATATCACCGTTGATGATATTGAAACGCCAGCTCCCCCTCCGACAGCTATTTAATCTTTCCGTCGTGTCTCCTGACGCGCGGTCAATGCATGCGGAAGTAACACACAGCTACATTTGACTTGAAAAGCCGATACGTTCGCAAATACAAATCACGGAGATGTTCAAGGAACACTCGACATCCGCGCGTATCGATGTGACGTCATACATGTCCCTGTAAGCTACGTGCTATCACGCGCACGTGCGCCGAATGTAAGAGAGAGACGCGAGTATCGAAATTAAATTTATCCGTCACGCCGAGAAAGAACAGCGCGGACTCCATTGTCGAAAGTTGACAATGCAAAGAGTGTATTCTTTCGACGTTAAAATGCGATCGAGCGTATTCCGCGTTCCGCGCATCCGTTGAGATAACGGGCACATACGTGTGACGCTTGATCGCAAGAAACTGGCACCGGCGATACTCGCATGCGATAATTCCCGATTTAACGGGTTTTGCATAAACGGCGCAACGCGGAGCGGAAAGTTGCAATGTCAATTTAATGATAATCATTCGCGCAATGTGTGCTCGCTCGCGCCGCAAAATGCGCTCCGCCGCGCGAAATGTCGCGAGCACACACGACATTTGCAATTACCGCCCGGTCGGAAATTATTAACTTAATCTTTGCAGATCGTTCATTAAATCACGCGCGCAGCATGCGATATTCCATTTTCCGCGGACCTGCTGTCGCGGCGGGTGGCGTGACCGTTTCCTCTTGTCGCATATAAATTGGGAAAATACGAGATCGCGCGATTAAAAAGTCCTATTTATATGCCGATCCTCTCTACATTTTTACGAACGATTACGTTCAATATTCGCGCTGACTCGTAAAGCAATTCCGAACGGCGTATCAATTCGACGGAACCGATGTGTTTTATTAACATTCAGTTTGCAAAGTGAAACAACGGATTAATTTGTGAAGAACGAGCCGTACTTTATTGATAAAAAAAGAGAAATCAGCGACGTGTATAACACTAACCGGTGCGAAATTCAATTGAATTTTTCCGTCTATCGTCTTTTCATTATCGCGCAAATCGCCGTCGCGGTCATCCCATTGTCCACGAATTAATGTCGTATTATACCGCGCGCGGGGGAACGTGTTGATAATTACTATTTAATATTCAGAATATTACCCAATTGGTTATACATATTTCCGATCGCCGGTTTGTTTCACCGATTACGATAATCCACCTGCGCACATCCCACCGGGATCGCTCCGTTCCTTCCTGCTCGTTATTTTCTCCCATACCGAGCGAAATCCCGAGTACCCGACGATCGACGCTGAATTTTATACAGGGTGGCCCACGTAAAGTGTTACAAGTCCATAACTTTAAAAATATTTATCAAATAAAAAAATTTTTCATAAGAAAGTTTCATGTATTCGAGAGGCCTTTCTAATTATTGGGTGAGTGCAAAAGTTCGTGCGGAGTTTCAATAGATGGAGTTATAAGCGTCGTAAAGTGTTGTCATTAATACTTCCATCTACATATTATATAACGTTGGAAAGGTGACGTCTTCAGCTGTTATTAAAAAAAAAATCATTTGTTTTCATACAAACTGCTTCGAGAAATATCACTTTAAAAATGAGTATCGATAAGGTGCATTTACGGCATATTATGCTTTACGAGTTTCGGAAGGGAATAAACGTTGCCGCAGCCGTAAAAAACATTCAGGATGTTTATCAGGATGAAGCACCAGCTAAACGAACTGTGGAAAAATGGTTTGCTAAATTTCGGCGCGGAGAATTTAACCTTGAAGACGAGCCACGCTCTGGTCGACCTTCTGACATTGATGACGATGTTTTGCGTACTTTAGTGCTCAATAATCCGCGAATTTCAACAGAAGAAGTTGCTACAGCACTAAACGTTGACCGATCAACCACTTTTCGGCGTTTAAAAAAGATGGGATTCGATTTGAAGCTCGATATATGGGTGCCCCATTTGCTGACCGAGAAGAACAAAATCAAACGAATTTCTGCAGCCGTTTCTTTACTCGGGCGGCTCAATAACGAGTCGTTTTTGGATCGACTAGTGACGGGCGATGAGAAATGGGTCCTCTACAACAATGTTCAGCGCAAACGGACATGGAAACAATCAGGTGAGCATGGTGACGCAATGCCAAAGGCCAGTTTGCACCCGATGAAGGTGATGCTCTCTGTTTGGTGGGATTGCAAGGGCATAATCTATTTCGAGCTTCTCCCCGCTGGTGAAACGATTGATTCGGACAAGTACTGTCGCCAATTAACCAATCTGAATCGAGAAATAAAAGAGAAACGTCCGATTTTGTCAAATCGCAAGGGAGTCGTCTTTCATCACGACAACGCCAGACCACACGTTTCGAAAAAGACGCTGCGCAAACTGAAGAGCCTGAAATGGGATGTCTTAACGCACCCACCGTATTCTCCTGATATCGCACCATCTGACTATCACTTGTTCCGGTCATTGCAAAATTATTTAAATGGAAAAAACTTTGACTCTTTGGAGGCCTTAAAAAACGGCGTCTCTTCGTTCTTCGAATCTAAACCGCGCAGTTTTTATGATCGAGGCATCCGTATGCTGCCAGAACGTTGGGAAAAGATTATAGAAAATGATGGAGAATATATCATTGATTGAATAAAGATTTTTGTTTGCCTAATCACTGTGTGACTTTTACTCACAAACTCCGCACGAACTTTTGCACTCACCCAATATATAAACGTAAAGTCGCCTCCGCTTCCTCTTTAAGGGGGGACGGGTGTAACTTCATAATTTTAAATGGAATCTCCTATAAAATGTTGCATTTTGGATTCTACGGGAAGAAACAAGTAAATTTTATCTGAAACATTTGTTTAGAAAATGCTTCTATCAAAAGTTATAAGCATTTAAACCTTTAGCGATTTCATTCATGATTGAACTCCATTGATATAAAGTTGCGTTCGCGATACAACAAAAACAAAAAAGACCTTAGAGTACATACTTGATGTTAACCAAAAGAAACATAAATAAACACATTTATCTGTATGATCTATATTTACGTTTCCCGATAAATGTGGTTATTTATGTTTCTTTTGATTAACATCAAGTATGTACTCTAAGGTCTTTTTTGTTTTTGTTGTATCGCGAACGCAACTTTGTGTCAATGGAATTCAATCATGTATAAAATCGCTAAAGGTTTAAATGCTTATAAGGTTTAAATGTTGATATTTTGTTAGAAGCATTTTCCAAACAAATGTTTCAGATAAAATTTACTTGTTTTTTCCCGGAGAATCTAAATATGCAACATTTTATAGGGGGTTCCATTTAAAATTATGAAGTTACCCCCGTCCTCCCTTAAAGGG